CAGGAGTGCTCACTTGCTTGCTCCCCACTCCATCCAGCTGGGTTTAATTTTAGAAACACAGTGCTATCTTGGGGCATCTTTTTCCGTGGAATGCAAGTCTTTAAGTAAATAAATAACAGCTTTGTGGAGGCGGAACGACAGCCCGTAACCGCACTGCAAAACACGCACCGAGCGAGTCGAGCCTTGTTTCACTTGCATGTGGAAGTACTTTGTACAGATACAGTGGCTGCACTGCCTCCCTCTCCTCGTTCAGCCCCCTCTAGAGCTGGCCATGTGCGTTGATTAGAAAGAAAGAAAAACACCTTGAAGTACCAGCCTTAGAGAAGTGGAAATGAAAACCCCTCCAGCTGCTGGGGTTCAGCTAAAGTTCTCTGGCACACGTTTGCAAAAGCTATGGTTTACTGGTGATGGGCTGTTGCTGGCTGTACCTCTGCTGCATCTGGGACATCCCAGAGGGATGTGCTCTGAGGCATCCTCAGTGAGCTGAGAGGGAAATAGCAGGCTATAAAGACGAAGGCAAGAAACTTGTGTTTAAATACCCCTCCCAGTCTGGCTGGCCAAGAGACTTCTGCATGCAGTTGTATTGCTGATGGCTGAATGTCCTGGGTGTGTCCCTCAAAGCGTGCTTGCTGGCTGGAAAATCCCATTAAAGACGTTTTACCAAAGCAAGAGCCTGTTTTCACTGCTCGGCTCCAGCAGCTCTGACATGGCATCTGTTGCATAAGCTGCTGGTAACTCTGTTGCCCTGAGTCAGCAAGGGGAGCTCTTCTAAAAAACTCCCGGTCCAAGCAAGACCTTACCACCGTGGCCTTCCTCTGATGTAGGGACTTGGAGATGCACCTCAGTCTGCAAGATGAAACAAATGGTGACAAAATCACCCAGGTTTATGGCTACTCACTTTGCTCTGCTCCTGCTGTGCATTGCTGCTGCTGTTGCTGGGACAAGACAGTGGTGAGATGACAAGACTGTTCATAAGGAAATTGGATCAGGGAGCACCCACCTTGGGTGCATTAGGAGTTGGCAGTATTGCTTCTGGTTGCCTCCTCAAAGCCAAAGGGAAGGCTAGACTGTGCCTAATCATGGAAGTATGAGTCAGCTCTGCCAGGGTCTTTGAAGCAAGTGGGCTTGAAGTCAGCATCTGTGGCTTGGAAAAAGCATCATGTAGCATCCTGGTGCCACATGCAGATGGGATGCTTGAAGAGGTTTTGCTCTTTCTGTCTTAAGATGGCAAACTTGCATTGTCCTTTTTCCTATAGCCCTTGGCAAGAGCATTTCTGGGTAAGACTGTGATAGTTTTGTGTGTTTGTTCAGAGAGAGTTGTAGTATTTGAATTCCTTGCAGGGCCTGGGGATTCCCAGCGAAACCTCAGCCTTTCTGGTATCTTCTCCTACCAGGCTGCAGGGATGGGAGGATTTTCCACATGGTGTGGTCCTGCCTGATTCCTCCTCTGCAAACTACCTGGCTAAGCCATCTATTCTTGCCTTCAGCCTGCTACTTCCACTGATACCACAGCACTGGAGGAAATTTTATCTTTTGCAAACCCTAGTGAAGGCCTTCTCTTGTGAGGCTGGGCGAGCTCTGCCAGTGTTCTCTATAAGCCCAGGATCAGGGAGGCCCTGGCAGCAGCTTGTCTTTTCCACTGATCCCAATTACGATTCAGTCTTGGCAGCATGGAGACTTTTGAGCTGCCAGCTGCAATAGGAGAGAAGAGGCTTCAGGGGCAGCAGAAATTATTCCCTTCCCTCAGCTCATTTCTTGGATCTGGGCTGAGGATGGCCCCAGGGGTTGATCTGCAGAAGCCAAGTGAGCCACACAGAGCTAAAACATTTCCATTCAGTGTCAGGCCCAGGGTGGGGAAGTGTAGCTCTCTGAAGTGCAGAGACTGTGGGTGGCAGCTGGAGAGGGGATGGAGGGAGAGAGGGATGAATGGGTGGTGTAGCTCCACACACTGTCTCAAACAACAGCAATTCCAGCCTCGCTGGAACCTTGAACATGGGGACCCTTGAGTGCTTCAATTACCCTGATAATGAAACCTAAGTTCATTAAGGCCACAGTAATGGCAGGTCAGACTATGCAGCTGAAAACCCTCTCTGCCAGCCCCCAGCAGCAGATGCTGCAGGCCCAGTCTCTGCCTGGTGTGACACTGTGCAGCCCTGCTGATGTTGACGGAGTTTGCCACAACGCAAACCAGCAGGTAACTGGCCCAGGGCACTACCAGTGGAGTGGCCATATATCTGATAGCATGTGTTTTTTTCCAAGCATAATACTAACACGATTTTTCAGTTGCCCAGACCTCCTGCTATCTCCTCCTCCTCCTCCCCCCTTACCTCCTGTCAAACTGCAGCCAAGCTTCCCTTGACTTTGCAGATGCTAACGCTGATTTTTGCTGGCCTTGCATCCTTTCAGCTGTGCACCCTGAAAGTATCATGGGTATAGAAGAGAGTGTTTCTGTTGCACTTGATTTTAAGGCTAAATTCATGCAGGAAGAGCTTAGTAGTACTGAATGTTTCTGATTTTGAGCAGGCTCTCCAGAATTTGAGATTATGCCATCTCTGACAGAGTCATTAATGAAGCAATTGTCTCTATTGCTAATCTGGAGTTCTGGAAGCGAACCAATCATGAAGTGTGAAGCTTTGCTCCATGGAGTAAGTGTTGTGTGGATGGCACCTTGGAGAGCCAGGGACAGTAGGCAGCTTGCCTGATGGACATGGCCATGCCATTCCAGTTGGGCTGTGCACACAGAGCTGAGCAATGCCTGGTTTGTTGTTGCTGCTCCACTTGGAGAAAAGCTCAGCAGTGTGTCTCAGGGCATCCATACAATGCCTTCTGGTGAACTTGCACTCAGCTGCAATTCACTGCTACTATTTTGGGTACTCTTTACTCCCCAAAGGAGCAAAGAGGATAAGTGCAAAAATAGAGATGCTAAACTGAAATCTTTCTAAACATGGCACTGCCAGCATGGAGGAACAGGGAAAGGTAGAGACAGGTGGATTTGTGTCTCAGCTAGTACTGTTTAATCTTGTTGTGCCCAAAACGAGAATCTGCTCTTATGACAGGGTGCACTGAGTTCACCCAAAGCCCTTCTCAGGCCCAGCCTGTGACAAAGGATTCAGATGCTCCATCCTGTGCCTTCCTGGGAACTATGCCAGGCATGTCAGGGGGTTGCCTGCAATCATCATGGTTTTGCAGTGCTCCTCACATCCACCGTTTTTGAGATCGAAGTTAAGGCTTTAACCTGAAGTCTCAAAACACTGAAAACCTGGTCAGCCCACTGCAACTCCTCCAACTGATTTTAGCTTCCCTGAAACGCTAAGCTTTTCTTGGAGTGAGGCTCTGGTAAATGCAGGGAAGTGAACTGTGTTTCCAGTTAACTAATTAGCAGTTCTGTCTTGGCCAAAGCACACACGATGCAGCAGCCATTTTTCAGCTGTTACAGGCCTGCCTGACTGCTCCTGAGGCAGCCAGGAGGAGCTGAGAACTAGCAAAGCACCAAGGAAGGGGTGGACCGAAGAGCCAGATTCTGTTCAGTCAAATCCCATGTAAAGCTGAGTAACGTCAGCAACTTACAGGGAATTACTGCAGGTCACTTGAGGCTTAGAGTAGCTAAAAAAATTCATTCCCCTTTTTAGTGCTCAGCTGCTGTTGCTTTTAGAATGTGGTTTTGCGTGGTTCCTATTCAGAAGAAAAGGTCCCTCCCTGAGGTATTTCAAGTCGTGTCTTCCCTCCATGCCCCTCTTCTTCTCCCAGCACTTTCTGAAAGCACTGCTCTCTATGACATAGCTTTAATCTCTTTAAGAATTCTTAAGTGACTAGCCCTGTTGCATCCAATCTTTAACAGGACAATCCAAGGGTGGAGTAAGTAGCATCAGGAAGTGGCCATGAAGGAAAGATAAGCCAAGCTGCCTCAAAGGACGCAGGCTAAATTTGCAGTGAACAGACAGTGGCATGCAAATGGGGTGTGAGCTGGGAAAAGTGAGTTTCCAGCAGGCAAAAGCTCTACTGCACATGCACTGTGAGGGTTGCCACGAGCTGCAGTATTTGCATCTGGGTTTTGTTTGATATGCACAGAAGTGCAACTTGTGCTCTTATGGCACCCTTCGGGAGAAGGAGGTGGTGGGTTTGGTGCTTTACTATGTTCCTTCTGGTTAAATCTTCAAAAACCTGGTTCCAAATTAGGAAGCATCATAGAAAAAGGATGTAAAGCTTTGCGCTCTTGTTTCAGGATTGGCAGCAGTTGGAATCAGAGTCATTTAGGCTGGAAAGGACCTCTAAGATCATCAAGTCCAACCATTAACCTAATACTGCCAAGTCCACTACCAAACCATGTCCCCAAGTGCCACAGCTGTACCTGGAAAGAGACCCTTTGGGAGTACAGCTGCCATCTCTGCCTTCTTGGACCCTCTGGTGGTTACTGTGAACAGCTCAATGGACTTGTCTTCCTCAGGTAGGAACACGCCTTTTTGGTAGCAGGAGACGTGAGAGCTTTTCTAGAAGCTCAAATGGATCAGAAGGGGAATTTCCATTAAAACTTATTCATGATACAGGAGGAACGCACTTTTATACAGGACTTTGCCAGATTTTGGTTTCAGCGTGCAGTCACTCAGACTAAGAGGAAGAACTCTGGAGGCACCAGCTCTTTATGTTCCTCTGCAACAAAAAGCAGTGCTGTTACACACAGCCACTGACTCAGAACAGGCTTGTGGCAGAAGCTGGGATAATGACAAGAGATGATAAATTATAATGCTAAACCCACAAGATTACACAGTTTAAGAACAGCCAGATTGTGATGAGTTTCACTCAACAGCAACAAAAACCCCAGATTTTTTTTATAGTAATAAGTTATTGTGACAGTCCCTTGCTAATTGCTGACTAATTATTGCAACTTGTAAAGGCTGTCTTGTTGCTTGTCCCAAGGTAACTGTTCATAAAAGCTCATGCATTAAAACGTAAATGTTCCTTTGACTGAATGAAGAGGGTATTCAAAGTAATGCAAAACAGAGTCCATTACAACTAGTATTTATTAAAAATACAGTGGACAAAAAAATGCAAGCCTCCAAAAAGTAGTCAGTTCATCAACATATAGTATGCCATGGCCCATCCAGGACCCCTGAAACATCCAGTGTTCTCACCTCATTTCTCCCACAAAACGTTCTGTTGACTCATGCTTGGTTCATTTCCTATAAATGTGCATAGTTTAAAGACTTGATAATGTAACATGAGCATAAAATGGCACCAAAGTCAGTTTGCCCTACAATTCCAGCCACTCTCAAGCCAACAAGGTAGTGAAATGTGCGTAAGTAGCAAGATGTGCTTGGTGGTCATGTGTGTGCTTCAGTAGTCCTTTGTATGGTCCTGAGTCCTTTGTGTGAACTTTATAGTATGACAGCAAACTTCTCAGCAGCCAATCATGTGCCTAAAACATCATTTTATTACTACTGAGCACATCTAGTCTCCTTTTCACTTTCAAAATTATCTAGAGATTGGGGGAAAGTTTGGGTGCTTTGTGTACGGTGAGGGCAGGTAAGTGCTTGTGTAACTCAGTTAACTTAGCAGGTTACACATGTGCTTCCTTTTCCTGGCAATTTGTTTCCATGCTGAGCTAAGGAAACTTTTGTGCTATGGGCACAGCAGTTCCAAGACGAATATAGTCTTTTGTATTTGCAGGATGAGTGAGAATATGTTGGTGCTCAGTACAGCAGCGATAGGTACACTCCTGAGAGGCACAGTGATACCAAGGGAGTCAGGACTGTAACACTAAAGGTAGGTGTGCAAATGTTCATGGAATTTGGGCATCAAGTTTTCTAGACTCCTTTCCCTTCCAGCTATAGCTGATATGTCTGTCACTGTATGTGCCTTAGCTCCCAGTGACTATGAATGAAGAATCAAATTAATTCACCCGCAATGGAAAAAATGCCTTTTATGGTAGCTAGTGTATGAGATTTGTAAAGGATTTGTAGTAAAACCTATTGCCTCATCTTAGACCTGTGCTTACTTTAAGTGAGCACGATGGATGTGGCAGTCTGGTGTGTGCTTTACTAATGCTCACAGTAATATAACCTTATTTCATGAGAAGAAGCTACTTGCAAAGCTTAAGATGCCTTTTTTTTTAGAGTCTTTGACCTTGTTAGAGCTGTCTTCAACTCTGTGCGTATGGAGAGGAAGTACCCTGAAGCATATGCAACTTCACATTACCCATAAGCAGCAGAAAACTAGTAACACCCTGTTTAAAGCACTTAAATTAACATCTGAAAAGGATCCATCAGTATTAACAAGAATGTTAAGTGATTTCTTATCTAGGACAGTCAATTATCACAACTATTTAATGTTACATGACAGTGGCCACTGCTGTATTTATGGAGACATTGGAGTGCTCCAAGGCCAGATGACTTCATGAAAATAAATCAGAGAAACGTGCAGGAAAACACTCCGGCCAAGGCAGAAGCAATTACCTTACTCTTTCAAGTGGCTACTAGTATTAGCTTTGTTTTATCTGTCAGGACTATGCAGGTTGCTGATTACTAGGAACTGCACTGTGGAATTAAAAAATTTGGAGTCTTCTAGGGTTTGGTGTGACAACTCTTTCTAATGTCAGGGAGAGCTGATACCGCTTCTGTGCATGGCACAATTAAGCCCTTAAGCATGTGACACAGGGCATCAATGTATTTCATTGCTAAGGACAAAATACCAGAACATGATTTTCACATTTTAAAACATGTCTTTCAGATCAGCAAATAATTCTTCCAAACCTAGAATTCCTATTTCTGCACCATGTTTACAGAGCATTCAAGGCAGAGAACTGGGCAGCTGCCATACTCTTTTTTGTTTTGAAAATCTTATGTGGATATTTGCTACATGCAGGTATCTCTCTTAAAAGGAAAGGCTGAGGGAGCTGGGCTCGTTTAGCCTCCATGAGGCGACTGAGAGAGGACCTCACGAATATATATAAGTATTGGAAGGGGGGAGAGTGCCAAGAAGATGAAGCCAGGCTGTTCTTGGTGATGCCAAACCACAGAATAAGTGGCAACAGAGAGAAACTGATGCACAGGAAATTCCACCTGACTAGGAAGAACTTCTTTACTATGCAGGTGATGATGCACTGGAACAGATTGCCCAGAGAGGTTGTCCGTCCCCTAGAAAACACACATGGTTTTTAACAGGGATAAGTGGCTCCACTGGTCATCCAGCAGTAAGTTGACAGAGTAAGGCAATGCCGGAGTCATGGGATTGCTGTAGTGTATACCTGCTGATGTCTCCAAGCTCACCAGCTGAGAAAAAGTAGTTCTTCTGTAAGAGGCCAAACACGAGCAGTGGTCATCTGGAGGGCTGGAGGTATCGGGATATTAACCTAGACCCTTGAGAAATCTCCCCTCTGCCCACCTGTCTTACTAAGCAACTTCACCTCTTTGATCACAATGTCATGAGTAACTGCTTTACACATGTCATACACTGTCAGGGCAGCCAGGCTGGCAGCTGTCAGAGCTTCCATCTCCACACCTGTCCTCCCCCAGGTCTGACAGGAGCTGCGAATCACCACTGCATATCTAGCCTCATCCAGGCTCAGAGACACCTCCACATGGTAGAGCGGGATGTTGTGACACAACGGGATCAACTGGCTGGTCAGCTTGGCTCCCTGAATTCCTGCAATCTGGGCTACTGCCAGCACATCCCCTTTCTTCACCTGGTTTTGTCTCACCATCCCAAATGCCTTCTCACCCAGCAGGACCACAGCACCAGCAACAGCACTTCTTCTTGAATCCGGCTTCCCTCCAACATCAACCATTGTGGCCCGTCCTTCCTCATCAGTGTGAGTCAAGTTGTCAGAGGCACGAGGTACCTTGGTGCAAGATCCCAAATCCGGGGTATAGAATTCAGATCCTGAACTTGCCTCTTTGGACTGACAGTCCACAGAAACTTGGCCAACAGGAGAAGTGTCAAGGCACTTTGTATCAAATGTGGAGCTTGGGTCCTTCTGGAAGACACAGTAGCCTCTGAGCTGCTTTTGTAGAATTCCTGTCGTTATGTGCCACTGTTGCTCTGGGTGAGATCTTGGCAGGAAAAGTTGTCCTGTAAGCTTATTTTTCATTAATGCTTTTCTCTTTTGTTTGGGTAAACTTGCTCTCAAAGTCAGCCAATGGCTAAATGTGTGGCCCCACTGTTTTGAATTTGAGGGATTCTGTAGGGCATCTTGGCATAGTGGCAATGACATCAATGCAGGCTCTGGGGAAGAAAACCAAAAAGTAACGTAAGAATACATCTTACTAACAGGAAAGCTAAGCTCTCTGTAGCAGGTGAGAACCCTATTAGAGCATTGCTTGTGACTTCCTGTGATGCAGAAACCTCAATAATCCTGTGAATATCCTCAAGCTCTTTCTCTTCTGTCTCATCAGTTGGTTCCCTGCATTTCCTGGTTTGCTACTACAGACCTCAATACTCAAAACACATATTTCAAGGTCCCTGATGAGAAGAAACAATTTACTTTCAAAAAGTATCAACACCTTTTGAGAAACAACAGCCGGGAAACCTTATAAGAACATCAGTTCTGAAGAAAAATGAGTCACAGCATCATTTGAGATCATCGTAGCACCAGGCTTTTTTTGAAAGCCTGGCAGTGTTAAAAGGAAATTCTTACATTCAGCTTCTCAACTCTGCCTTTCCAAACACCTCCGTCCCAGCACAGGCAGCTGCACTTCCTCCTTTCATCTCCTTCTGCAGGGAAGGGTCATGCCTGCACTTGAGGACAGCAGGGACCAGAAGCACTACATCTGCAAGTGCACTGTCTACAAGCTCCGAGGGTGATGGGAACCTCTCATTACTGCCAATTCTTAACATGTTAATGACAGCTGAAGTTTAAGCACTGGGAAAACCATACTCCCCTCATTGACAGATAGCTTTTAAATCTACTCAGAAGTATGTTCCAAGTCGAGCTGGCAGAGCTCCTAGCTGGCAGAGAGGTAGTAGGCCCTCCTGCCCCTTTTCACCATTTAATCCCCTGGTTTTGGCATTTGCATTGGGCTAAATGCCAAGTGTGAAGACAGAAGGAGTCTTTTTCACATAAAAGTGAATAAAATGTTCTGTAAGTAAAAAAAGAAGTATAGAGGTAAGTGGCTAAGCCCCAGTTTAACAGCCTCATTGATAAGCATGTTTTTCTTTTTCTGAAGCTCCTGTTTTCTCTGTTCTGAGAAACATGGAATTCGGAATTTTGCTCAATAACCTCCTTTGGTAGCTCCGGTATTTGGGGGCTCCCTTTTCAGCCTATCCACGAGTGCATCAAAATAGCTTCCTGACCCGTCTGCACATTGCTGAGCTACCTCTGCTGCCCAGACCTATAGGTATTGCCTGGGACTGTCCACATGCCAGACACAGCATGGATAAGGTCCCAGTTGTGCCCCGTTCCCCTCCTTTTTTAAAAACAAACCAACCAATCTCTTCCTTGTTAGCCTCTGCCAAAACAAGACTACTGTACTTAGGACCTTTTTCATCCAGAGTACCCTCCAAACTTCAAAGTACTCATTCCTGAAGGTTAAATCAGCCATACTATTTTTTTTTTTTTTAAATCACCGCAGTAATTTTGCTTTAGACAAAGGCCCTTTTTGTTCTACAGCTGATGGCCTATCCACTAAAATTAAGATTTCTGCGAGTTTGGAGGTAATGTATTTACCTTCAGAGGAATGGGATTAAATGGATATAAATGTACTAAGTGTAACATTGCTCTGCTTTGGAAAAGCACAGAAAATTTTGCTTATCCCTTCTTTCTTTCCCTTTCTCCTCATAGTAGGACCTAACCTTAATATTCCCTTTAAAATTTGGGAATGAAAAGTACTTCTGGATTCCCTGATTAACTTTAAAGCTGAAGCTAAACCCCTAGCAAGGAGTCTTGTCATCAGAAGAAGCTGAACTGCAAAGGCAGACAAGGACTTCCTTCCACAGGGTAAACACACATGGGTTGGGGCAGGGAAGAGAAGCAGTGTGGTAAGTAAACAGGCAGTAATAGGCAGTAATATATGCAAAGCATCTTCGCTTTTTCTAACAACCTACACTTGAAGTTGTACCTAGTCATGTCTATTTTCACCCAAACTGCTCACATACCTACACAAACACAGATAATGGTTTTCTACTGCACAATATACCAAAACCATCTGACAAATCCCATCTCCTGTTACTGCACCTGAAGTTTAATTGTGTTAGTTTCCAACTAGCACAATCTCAGGGGTAGAAAAGAAGGCAGGAGGTACTTAAATTAATGAGGAAATTCCCATAACTGAAGTAAACCCATGAGGAGAACAACCTGCCAAAAGGAATATTTTGGTTAAGGGAAATAGGATACAAACCGTATAGCAAAGGATTGGACAACAGCAGTGCAGGGAAGATGCCAGGTTTGGCTTACTGGGCCTAGCAAAACCAATTAGTGATTTCCACAGCATTCACTGAATTTCATTAAATTAATTCCATGCACACACTCCCCCACTGACTGCTTGCACGCCAGCATTATTTGAAGTTTCTAAGTAATTCAAAACACAATTAGGAAATCTCCTAATAATTCCCCATGTGTCACAGGATACTCTCCACTCATCTCCAGTCTCTTCAGTGATGCGGTGACTGCCAGCAGTCAGTCTCAAAGGGATATGGAACAGCTGAGGGAGGAAGACCTGGACAGGCTGCCTCTTTCAGTGTATGTCAGACAAAGCACTTTTCTGAAGGAAATGGGATGGATCTGATCTGTAGACATCCAAACATTGCTATGAATGATAACTTTGGAGCGTGGGAATCCTTTTAAAGGCACCTTGAAAAATTATGTAGGACCCAGAGAGCTGTCAAAAGTATAATATAGTATTTTTCATCTTAAGAAAACCAGAATTTTTCTCCTAATGCAAACACTTGAAACAAAGCGTCCTCCTTCCCATTTTCCTGGAACACAATGCAGCAGTGGCCAAATCAAAAGAGCAAAAGCCAGCTCAGAAAGACAATCTTGCACCACTCAACATGGAAATGGCCCTTTAAAGGGGGACACCAAGTGAAATATATTCCCAGTGAAGACCTATGTTAAAAGACCTTAATTAATGTGAATTAATGCACGTTTCCCTCCCCAAGGGTACTTTTTTTTAAACCTGTGTTTTAAGCTGCCCAGCAGTTAACCTACTCCTAAACATCAGTGGGAGGACGAGAGCTTGGATTTGAAACATAACATTCATCTCTTCCACCCTTACTGCTTTTGGTTTTTTTGCCCTTTAATTGCAAGACGTTCTGTTGTTCCTTATCAATAATCTCACAACACTAACTCCTGTAACCATTTCTTAAGTCTTTGGGAAGACAGCTATCTTACGAAACAGGAAACATAGGCATAGAGGAGGTAAAATCACACTGAAGGAGTTGTAAAAAATCACTAAGAGAACCTCAGCAGTGCTATATCACTCTCAAAAAGAGCTTCAGGCAGAAGGGAGAGTTAGCAAATATCTTCAAGAGATACAAGAAGGAGCAGAAAAGCTCTCAGTCCACAGGGGTTTCACAGTTATATTCTGAGACTTTGCAGTAGTGAGAGGTAATTTCAAAAGAACAAAGCCCCATGATTCAGATTCTGAAGTAATGAAGTAGTGAGGTGGGAACACTTGCATTTCTGTCAGGTTACTGGCTGTATATATTATAAGCAAAGTTGTATTTCTTAATCGAGGGATAAAAGTCCATCCTACATCCTTTATGTCTGTGTGGCAATATGGTCAAAATTCACCCCAAACTGTCTTACAAGTTACTATACTATTCTTGTTAAATACGAAGGAAGATGATAGGAAATAAGGTAGGAAAGCTAATTATCCCTTTGGAAAATGTAATGAACTTCCATAATTTGAGAACAAAAACCAGTGCTGTCAATTAGAAGACTGGATAAGACTTGGTATGGACGTTAAACCTTTCCTTCTCTCTCATTTCAGCACATTAATCACAACTGCCTTTTAAGAAGCCTATTTCTTTGCCTAAGCCTAAGCCAGAATCAGATACAAGACAGACTTAGAAGCCCAATCTATTCTGCTTCCCCAAAGACAGAAACTGAACAAAATCATTGTATGTTTTTTACGTACTGATTTGTCACCCACCAATCAGGATCATTGGCCGGTTTTTCATCTGGGAAATGTTAAACATGCCTAGAAATAAAATAAGGAACACATAAAAATCCTGGCTTTTTAGTTGTTAAGTCATGCATCTGGTTTACATATTTAGTTTTCTACTCTTCACAGTGCAACCTGCATGCTAGGAAAAACAAAGCTCAATAAAGACTAAGGGAACTGGAAGAGGGGGAGTCTAGGTTGGTATTATTTAAAACCATAGCTGCCAGAGTCTCCAGGCATCCAGCTGCTATGGGTCTATCACACTGTAGAACCCTTTCCCAGAAAGCTTTCCATTGTGTGAGCTACAGTCTACCTCCTGCAGAATTCTAACAACTTGAGACTGTCTTGTTTCTCAACAATAGTATTTGACTGTACTAGTTCTATAGAGAAGTGGCTAATAAGTGTTCCAGTTCAAAGAAGTTCAGTCACAGAACGTCCCAGGGACAATACTAAGATTAACACAAACTAGAAGAAGACGGTGTCAGGTAAATGCTGCTGATGGCAAAATGCCTTTAGTAGACTCTTCCCCACCCACCCCCTCTTTTCCCAAACCATAAATTCATAAATAAATGGTCTAAAAGTAAAGAAACCAATCCCTCCACCCCTTCCATTGTGTTTAGAAGGCACTATTTTATCAGACCAATGTGCTTTTCAAGTTAGTCTACACTCAGGATTTAAAGGCTACCTTTAAATTTGTTTTACACATTATGAAAAAAGGGGAAAAACCACTGTTATTAATCTGTCAGAATGTGCAAGAAAACAAAAGGGCCAAAGCATATTTTTAGTGTAAAGGGGACTAATCCATGATGATAAAGCCAGTTCATGTACAAGAGGTCAGCATTCCCAGCTGCAGCCAGATTACAAAAATACAGTTAGGTTCAAGATGTGACTGTTTATATTAATATAAATTCAGAGAAGACTAATACAGCCTGAGAATGTGACTGCATCATCATGGACCTTGTGTACCTTATGCAGAGTACTACACGAGTTACTACAGACTTCTGCATACTCAAAGAGAGATCTGTCACTTCTAGAAACAAGTACTGCAAGTACTTGGATTGACAGCCCAATAGCTTTAGTACTTATTTTACTGCAAACTAATTTTAAGAAAAAAAGTGATCCAGTATAACTGCTTAGCTTTACACTTTGCTGTTGCTGTCACGAGCATCTCTTTGAGGACAAAAGTCAAAGTCTTTTAGACAGTCTGGATTCTAACTCACGTGGAAGGTTATGAATACCAGGACACTTTTTTCCCCTAATCACTGTTGCTATTTCTCAGTTACAAAAAAACATACCAGCATGCTGTTTCTTTTTTCTGCCCACTGCTGCTCCAATGATTTGAACCAACTCTTCCTCTGAGGCACCAGACCGTAGGTGATCCCTCAAGGACACTTCTGAATTCCCAAAAAGGCACACCTGCAGCCAATCCAAGGAAACAGAAGCCAAGAAATGAGAAAGAATAAAATAAATTACTTTTACAAGTATTTTGTACTAAACTCAGAGTCAAGAGCTTTGAAGAGGCCTACCCTATTGAAGGGAACATTTATGGAGATGATTGTTTTCTTTATCTCTCCTCATGTGCACACAGAGACCGCCTGGGATGTTTATGCAACCTAAGCTCATTGGGCCTTCAGGCTGCCTCGGTCATCTGACATTCAGCAGCAGCACAGCTGTTGTCAATATCAGGTGACAATACATAAGTGCCAATTTTTAATTGAAAACTTTAATTTTCCCCCAGAAACTGCCAGTTTCAACGTGGCAGGAAATGGTTATCCCTCCCCTTTCTACAGTCATTGAGCAAATGTACAGGCTGCTCCTGAAGGAGAAGAGTTGCAAGATGTTTGGGAAAAAAGACACGATCCCTGTGGAACGCAAAAGCCAAGCCCTCACAGCTGCTTGGATCCTTTTTTAATGGGAAATCATCTGCTTGTCACATGTTTAGGATGATTTTGAATCAAAGATTAGAATAAATGTTTATATTTACTGTTCTTGCAACCATGTTTTACAACTGAAGTTAACTATGGTAGCAAAACAGAGAAACCAAAAAAAAGTGATGTAACATCTCCCTAATAGCTTGACAAGATGGAACAAGAATACATACAGGATAAATAAACAGGAGTTAGCTGGTAATAATTATGTGTCTTTACATCCCAGCTACTTTTATGGGATGCATTTCAACACTATTTTCACTGCATGAAAGCAAAGAGAATCCTCTTTCACTACCAACTTTTAGGTTCCCATCTGCTGTTATCCTCAGCCGATTGCAGGATCCACAGAAGTGCTCTGACATGGAGGTGATAAAGCTGATTTGTCCCTGGAAATGTGGCACCTTATAACTCTAAAGAAATCGAGAGGAGAAAAAAAGAAGAATCAGACACAGACTCTTAATATTTAAAGCTCCACTTGTCCAAAGACTGGAAGACATTTTTGACACAGATTTTCTTTCGTTCTAAAGTCATATGAAAGAAACAAAAAATCAACTTCATCAGGGGTTCCACAGTCTATTCTGCCCCGTTTCTGGAAATTTCCAAACTTGTTAAATGTTTGCACTCCTAGTTATCAACGAACAGGTGATGCCAGTAGGCAGCATAACACTCAGGCAGCAGCCATGAGCTAGAAATCATCCATGTGACACTATGCACTCTAAAGCATTAGTTATTTCACGGAACAACTGTTCCATCAGCCATGTTAATGTGCAGTCATAGACAGAAAAAAGTTTCAAAAGCTGTAAATACAGGATACAGGCCTGGCAATTCTTTATATCTGACCAAGGCATCTAGGAAACACATTGTATTTGTAAAGGTAAAAACTATGACTAGCATTTATTGAGTGTCAAACCACATGCAGGCAGTCTGATCAAAACCCCAGATCAATGCTGAACTTGGGAGACTTTGGGGACCTGGGGCAGAGAAAGAATGGGGGCATGTTTCACATGTTCTTTGTCCAACCCCACCTTGGCTGTGCTGGAACTTTCACAGGGTAATTTCTCCAATTCAGGCCATCGCTGTTTAATTGTATCAAGCATTTCTTTGTAGCTCACCATCTTCTTGAAGTTCCATTTATTGCCTAGAATTAATAAAACCAGTGTAACTTTAGACTGTGTCTTTATTTTTTTAATTAGCAGAGAACCACCTTCACATTCTCCACAAATCTCATTTTTCCCTGTAGGTGTCTCAGCCCCACCTAATCCTGCTACTAATTGTAGCAAAGATAAAATTTCAGGCAATTCCTAATTCCCCAAAGGAGCTCAACTTCCAGACAAGTCCCCGGGGTGAATAATCACCAACCAGGTTCACCTCTGCCCAAGGCACACTCCACACCATGAAGAATCTCAAAGCAGGAGTACTTACCATCAAAGGGCATGTATTCTATGAACCGCACATCAACGGGCAGGTCCTTTGTGAAATCCACAAAGTCCAGCAGTTCATCCTCATTCAAGCCTCGCATCACCACACAGTTTACCTGCAGGTAAGACAGACACCTGAAATTAGTGAGCAGAGTACTTCCCACTTACACAAAGTTTCACAGTCCTTGCAGAAGGCAACATAGATAGAAATAACTTTTTTTTTTTAGAAAATAAAAATTATGAAAGAAATTGGCATGGATGATAATTTCTCCCTAACTAGTCTAAGTTTTTGCTCCAAGCTAATTAAAGTTGTTAAAGTTGCCTTGCTAAATGGAAAACTAATAACAAAACTAGGTAACACAAGTATTGTCTTACCTATCTAAGGTATGGCAGCTTTTACTGTTTAAAATGACAGTGCCACTCCCCAGTCCTACACTGTATGGCTTCCAGAAAAGAAATGGCAAGTTACCTTCTATAACACTCTCTATGGCAGATCATAGGCAAATTCCCTGAACTGGGAAGTGTTCACAGCACACTCTGTAACCGTAGGCTGCAGGATGACTAGATCTTCCTCCAAAAAAGAGGTTAACACACTCAGTTTTTCACACATTCCTCATAAACAATATTTACATTGGAGCCTCAGGTCCTCTGTTTTATCTGAAGAACAACAGATAGCTGTGGAGTTGCTAACACTTCTGTAAGCAAGGCAGACTTTTACGTCCAAACACCATGCACCACAGTACTTAAGTGCTTTCAGGAAAGCCTAAAACCAAGTTTAATTTCAAATGATTTTCACAGCTCTATAGCCTAAACCACTTACACATAATAGAATTTCCAAAGCACTGGTGAAACTGAAGGGACCCACAGGTGCAGAACTGCAAACAGGTGACTTAGAGTGGGGTTTCATGTTAAGAGTGAAACTGGTCTACCTGCACCCTCAAAGGAGGACTCACTTTCCCTTGCTCTCACACCGGCACTCTGTAAGAAGCTAAAGGAGATAAACCAGGAGAAAATCTCTTTTTTTGGGGGGTAATTTCTGCCTGTTAACTCCCCTGGCCAGGTTCACAGCTGGGCCAGTGCCAATTCAATAGAGAGGGTAGGAGGAGGCAAATACAGAGCAGGATCATTCTGTAGCCTGCTGCAAAGAAGTCAGTAGGCTGAGGCAGTATGAACCTGTACCCTCAGCTGCACAAGGAAATGAGTTTTCCTTGTTACTTTGTGGTGTGATCTTCAATCTACTGAATTTTTTATCCAGTTTTACAAAAATTTATTAATGAGGTGGAATATAATAAATTCCTCATCAGGTGAGCTGTATGTATGGTAAAACACAACAGTTTCAGAGAAAATAAACTCTGGCTTTACCTTAACAGGACGATAGCCAAGTTCAGTGGCTTTGTGGATTCCTTCCATTACCTTGTGAAAGCCTAAAATACAAAAAGAAAGAAAAATAATTTTTCTTGTTTAAAACCAGAATGCAAAAGGAGCTTATTAAGTACAAGACAAAGAAATGACCCATAAAACTGATCTGATTCAGTAGACAGGGCTGTAAGTAGTAAGAGCTGCAAATAAATAGACTTCAATTATATATATACCCCAACCTCACAACCCCCAAAACCACCAGTGTTCCTGTACTCAGGTCACCAAGATCATTATTTAACTAGTATTTGAGTAATCAATAATACTTGTATTTTTTTTTTATCTTTGGATATCCATGTAGTATTAGCATATGATTCTCCACTTCCCCAGCTCTCCCCCTCAACTTTCCTTCTGTTATTTTGTTCTTAAAGGAAGCAGAAAGAATTTATGAACTACCTCCAGATGCAAAGAAGAAAGAATAATAAATTAATGTTTATTCTATAGTAATAGCTCATGTCTTTGCTGCAATGGCAGAATCTCACTGTTCTGAATCAGACAAACAATACTGCTAAGTGAATTTTAAAAGGATTTTTATAAAGTGGAGTGGGTTTGGGAACAAACAAAAGCCCCTTGATTCCCTGTTCAACTCTGGCTACAGATGTAATTGGCTTCCCAAAGCTACTGATTACCCATTAGTCTGAAGATCACAGGCAGCACTTACAGGATCATCGTTTTATGACTAAACATGGGAAATTAGTGAGCAAAACATGGCAGGGATTAGAGCATTCAGAAAAGCAATTCAGTTGGCCTCTGATCCTCAAAAACAAATGAAAGAGATCTAAAAACTACAGTGACATCAAGGAGTGAAGTGTCCAGCTTCATCCTGCTGTTTGGTGGCCTACACCTTTCAGCTTCTCTCAGACACAAAAAATATATTTGACTCAGGGCAAGTATCTTTGCCCCTACATTTACCTCTTAAAGTTGAAAGAAAAATAAAGCAACAATGCAGTTTTGAAATTCCAAAGTCCTTTAGGAGAGCCTCTTAATTACCTCATTCAAACCACCCCTTCTGTCAACTTTGTTTAAAGTAAGACCTTTCACAAAGTTATCATTTTAGACTTGACATATTATTCCTTCCCTGCCACACTCACCAAGTGGTGGAGAACAAAGCTGAACAGCAGCAAGAACAAGACAGAAAACTACCGAGCTCTGGGTGCATAGTGGGTGTGCTGAGCTATCAGCACCATGTTTGTGAATGTCTCTTCTACCCTGTCATGTTCTAAACTAAGTTCTGTTCCCATTCTGCACATGAAACTCAGGTATGAGAGACCAGACACCACATGAGACTAGGCTTCTTCTTCCAAAGCTGCAGTCTTCAACAGCAAAATACTTAACACATGCTAGTAAAAGGGCAAAATGTTCCAGAAGATTGTGTTGACCATCCCTGTGCTGTTCCTAGTCATATATTTTTCTGCATAGGTCCATTATCCACCTTTCCCTATCTACTGGAAATTCAGATGCTCTAGTGAAGAGATCATACCTTCATTAGTCTGTAGGTATTTAACTGAAATAAGCAATAACGGAACAGTATTCTGTGCATACTTAATACTGGATGAGTTTAAAGTCAGAAAAAAAAAGGAAGAGAGACAAAAATTTCACTTAACTGCTCTCTAGCTGGTAAAGACATTATAAAGCGTGGACACAGAAAAGCAGAAGATATAATTGTTTTATAAGCCAGTCCTAATGCTAGTCCTGGCTGCAAGAACAGCAGTGAAGAATACAGAGAAGACAGTGAAATAACTCTTGCAAGAAAGTGTTTGAAGTTATGACTTGTCACCCTTCTCAATCATCACCTACTTGTGCATGTGCCCAGGAAGTTTCCAGCCCCTGTGACAGATCTCATTCCAATTAAGCAAGTTTGCAGGCAGAATGTAGCAACAGACATAATGATACACTGTGTAAGCACAATCCAGAGCCACGAATGGGATCAAAAATCTCTGCAACTGCTCAGAAAATCTTACGTGTAACCTCAGGATTGCAGAAAGGTGAAACTGAACATAACTAAAAAGGCCAGGAAGCAACCACTGGCAAGCAACAGATCAAAAACTCTACATGTTTTAAAACTCTCATGCTTGGGCTCAGCTCACTGTAATCCTGTTCAATACCTCTACATCTTGCAATACATCTAACTCAATGTCCTTCCCAGGTCTGCCTCTTACCTACTGCCATGGCTGCACATGAGCATGGTTTAGAAAAACTCTCAAAACTCTCTACAAGCAAACAAAAAATTTAGCTTTTCTGAATAGCAACAACTATGAATTTATTTCCACTCAAATATTTTTGGGGCAGGGTGATTATTTAAAACAAAAAGGGGAGGGGTGATTATTAAAACAAAAATTTGTTACAGTAAAAATAAAAAATCCATTACTGCATTTCATATTTTCATGTTAATGCTTTCTGTTTTTTTTCTCTATGAAAAGCTGTTGGTTCACTTGTATTGCCATGCTTATTGAAACATCCCTTCTGAATCAAAGTCTTTGTGTGGCAATGGAACAAAAAAAAGAATAAAATCAAAACATTTCAAAACATTAGAGCAGAAATGAATACTAGATGTCATTGTGTTGGGAAACATTGTCAAGTCACAGAAGTTTGTAAAGCTTTTTTCGGTATTTGAAAATTACAACCTTTCTCCTCTTCCACCCATTGAAACATTTCAATATTTTCATCATATTAGATTTCTTCTGAAATCAGAACTGTAGCCAACTTTGAAGGACAGAGAACCATAGACCCGTCCAGAACAATCCTCTGTGCGACAACACCTCCCACCATTTAATCCTTAAAGCAAGAAAGACTTCAGGCCAACGTGTAAGGATACAATTACAGTACAAAATGATCTCATTTTCCTTGTACTGAATAAAAAAAGAAGGCACAGTCCATGAAACATGTTAGACTGGCTACCTTCAAGCAAGCACTTTTCATTTGTTTATTCCTTAGAACGTGGTAGATGGGAAGAAGTAGAAACATTATGGTCCTCTAATGTGCTTTCAGACATTAGTGAAATCTCTGGTGATCTCAAGTCATTTCCTCTATCTCAACTATTTGGAAGTAAGAGCAGATGTAATGCAGGGCACTTGCACCAAAGATACATATTTTCAGTGTCTTCTTAAAAGCCTAGAATGACTTTCCAGTGGAGCAGAAGAATTAATTCCAATTTTCTTGAGCTCCTGATAAGCTCCATAATCAGATGACACCTTTACTTTCCAGGGAAGTTACCAGCCTGTAGGAGTCCAAGACCAGGAATCCCTTTCACCTTAATAGAGCTATATCTTGTTACCTCTGGAACTGCCACAGGAGACAGGGTAGTACATTAGGACAGGCACTTTATTCTCTGCTCATTCCATAACTGGAAATTTCCTATTAAATAAAACCCCTCAACAATAATAATAATAATAAAAGAGTATTTTTACATCATTTCAGCCCTTAACCCTAACAAAAGAAAACAGCCCCATAATTTAGTGTTACTATTTTTACCTGATCTCCACTTAAAAAAAAAAAAGTATGATTCAGAAACTTTATTTTCCTCTTTAAAAGTAATAGAACTTTTCCTGTTCATTCTCTATGCTGTTCAGTTGAGCAATTTCTCTCTTTGTTGTTAAAGATCCTTTTTATTTAAAGGGAAAGAGGGGAAGAGAACACTTACACAAATAAAAATTACCCACATCTCCTAATATTTTTTAGTTTACTTTATAAGCAGCACATTCCTAACAGCTTTCAATCAGATATGAAGAGCTGTGGCCTTATAATTCAAGAGCTGGAGGCTCAGGTTTGCCCCTTCAGTAGCAAAAGAAGGGTTTGTTTCTAATGAATGTCACAAACTAGGTAATATTCAAATGCACAGAGCAGAAGGAAAGAGCATAGTCAACACCTGCTTGTGATTAGATACTCCCAGATACCACTCTGGGAGCCAATTCTGCCTTGAAACAACCAGATTAATGCCATAGCTTATGCTGGAAGGGTAATGCTCCAGTCAGATTTACGACAGGAACAGGTTTCTGCATCATGATATAGAAACCTGAAGTAGTGCTCCCATAGAGAGCCTTTCTGCACCTGTCAGCAGAACTTTGATTTGATAGCAGTGATTCAAATGCTGACATTACTTCTCATAGCATTCCGTATTTTCCACATCCCTACATCTATCTTAGGCTGTTGCACCATCTGGTGGCTACTTAGAGGTTTTGTCGGAATTAGTTCACAGACCACCGAAGTTACATTACTGGACCGAAAGAGAATAACACAAGATCCTACCAGTTTTAGTTTGGAAATAAGCCCAACCATGAAGCTGAACTCCAAGACAAGCTTTAAGATTCATTTAAGAAAGGATCTCTAAGACTGGGCAAATCCAAGCATTTTTGGAACTTCGTGTGGAATTCCTCGCTCAGTTGGAGAGAAGTTACAAAGCTAGCAGCCCTCCTCAAATTACCTCAGGCATGGTTTATGTTTATCCCTATTAAAAAGTAGTGGAGATAGGGAACATAACTAACCACAAGTGAGACTACTGCTAGCATACCCAAATATAACTTCCAGAACAGGCCACTACTCATGACAAGTTCAGTTCTTAGTTCCCAGCTGCTATAAGAGGAACATCTGGTTTTGTGAACATAGAATCATAGAATCAGATGGGTTGGAAAGGACCTCTGAGATCATCAAGTCCAACCCTTGATCCAATATCACCATGGTTACTATACCATGGCACTAAGTGCCACATCCAGTCTCCTGGGATGGAGAATCCACCACTTCCCTGGGCAGCCCAAAAAACAGAAGTGGCAAGATCAAGTTCAGATTTTGCGTCTGTCTCTCTGACAGTAATAAAGAAGGGCAGCACACAAGACCAACACAAGATTTGGAGAGTCCTCTTGAGATCTGTGACTAACCAGTCATAGTGCCAGCTACTATTGGCAGCTGCAGTCAGTCTCACTGACTCTGCTGAGTTGAGCACCTTCTACTCCACCAGGTACAACAAAGGGATTCTACCTGCCTAAACATTGTAGAAAGAAGGAAATAGAGTCACTATTGAGTAAGATACTATAGACTAGCTTTCCTAGCCCCAGAAGGAGAGCAATTCACTCCCCTCCTGATGTAACTGAGTGTGGAAGATACACAAAACAACTCACAACATTCTTGCAGGTATTAACACAGTTGCCTTAGAAGACAAGTTTGTACCTTTCCTTCGGACAATGAACTCAAATTTAGCTGGAACCAAAGTATCCAGGCTAATATTAATGGCATTCAGTCCTGCCTCCTTCAGTCGGGGCAGAAGTCTGCTTAAGTTGATCCCATTGGTTGTGACAGCAATGGTTTTCAGCCCTTCTAGCTTGTACAGCTGACCTACGAAATAAAAAGTAAAATAAACACTTTAAAAGAAGTAATTCAACTGTAAGTTACACCAAAACCCTGAAAGATTTGCAAAACAAAGAAAAAGGTATCACTCAGGGTGTGAGGAAAACATGGACACTTCGGTGTTTCAGCCTCCTTCCAGTTGTATTTGTTGAAGACAACCATTTCCACACAAATCCATTTCAAAATGTATGAGAGAGCAGTTTATTGCACATGAAACAGGTGATAAAGTTCTGTTTTATCAAAATGCACACTAATTTCGTTCTCCATTTCTTAAATAGTTACTTTATTTTTGAAGTAAGGCCTTTGATTTTATGTACCTTCTTTTCCTTGTCTTGCTTTGCAAACTGAATTTTATGTTCTGCAATGATAATAAGCAGCAAGCCATCCCTTTCACACCGGACACCAGAACTAGCTGTGTTTATTTAGTAACGTTTATTCTACAATGCTTTACCAAAAACCAGTTCTAACCCAGAGATAGCTGCCAGCTGTAGTGACTTTAAACTTCTGAAAGAAATACCACATAAGTCCTAGTGAAACAGAAAAAGGTCAACATATTAGACTATTACAGAGCATCCAAGGCAAAAACATCCAAGGGACAAAACACTTGCACTTGACAGCTGAAATATTTCCATTACCCACAGAGGTAAGCCCAGCCAACTGGAGGGCACTTACGCAAGATACTAAAAAATGGCTAACAAAAGAAAACAGCATAAGAAACAGTTAATATCATGAGACTAAGATTTAGAAGATAGCTGCCTTCTCATAAGCCAAATGCAGAAATCCTTGGCACACCAGATCTCCAGAGGGCAGGCTTTCAAACCTCCAGTTATCAGAACAATAACAAATAGGAAAAAAATCCTCAAAAACAACTTGCAGAAGCAGAGCCACAGCAAAGTCACTTTTTCCTCCCTCCCTCTCTCATAGCCTCCACCCTAATTATTTAATAAATATTTGAAGAATCCTTACTCTTGAGGCAGCTGCAATTACAGCACAAATACTTCATAGTTCCTTCTTCCCTCACTATTTCAATTCTATTTGTTCATGTTGATAAGGGCTTTACTTCTGCTTTAACTCATTTCCCTGCTATTCTCAAAATATTCACCCTAAGCTTGGCCCAGAATTCTGGAATGGGACAAGCCAGGTCAAAGCAAAAATGCTAAAGCTTAAATCAGCAGCAGCATTTTGCAACATGATTAAGAGCTCCATAAAGACATCTGCAAACTGAAGTTATAAGCAAAAGAGCAATCTTTACCAAGAAATATTTTTTTTCTGGCATTCACCTCTCCAAATCCTCCCAAATGACCAAAAATAACAGCTTCCTAGAGGATAAGTCCTACTGGCTCAATTTTGTCAAAGATTAGCCACTAGCTACCCCTAGTAGCCTAGTCTTCATGAGAGCATAGTTATACATGCTCTAACTATACATAGTTATACAGCCAGAGGATAGTGCAGGAACATCACTACTTTTGTTATAGCCTCAGAATGCACAGAGTGCTCAGCCTCAGAACAACAGAGAAAAAAGGGCCAGTACCATACAGGTTTCATTGCTAGAAATGTAAAATGCATACAGGTATTGAATAAAACTAACATCATGCTGCAGCCTAAATGCAAAAATTAAAGAGAGTAGCACCAGCTGTCATCCACAAATCTTTTTCCTCCTCAGAGAAGACAAGATACAGTTAGTACACTTTACCAAGTGTATCATTCACAGTGTCTTGGTATCTTGGCTTGGTGACCCCTAAATTCAAAAGGGATTAAAGAGACTTCATAACTTTGTAACTCTCCTTGTACCTGTATTAAATCTGTTTGCTGGCCTTTGGTCACAGCTTTAGCTCCAATCAGCACAAGCAAAAGCAACTGATATAAACTACGAAGTAGAAAAGGAAAGAGAACAAGTTGCCATAATATCATAGCATGAAACTACAAGATTGTATGTCATGCTCAAGCCATAAAATAAACCCTTTACATTTACTTCTCCATTTAGGATCAGGAGCATCTTCTTAAATAGACAAGTTTTTTACATACTCTCCTCCTCCTTAATTGCACTTTTGTTTGAGTCCCAAAAAGGTATGTGTATCTCTTAATACATGAACTAAAAAGTCTATGCTATACCACTTCACTCTTGAAATGTGTATGTTGCTATAAAAAGTCATCCAATCAACCCCCCTCCACCCCAATGAAAATTATTTTTTTCAATGGAGATGTGTACTTTTCAGACTATTAATAATAACTGCCATCACACAGTTTATAGCCAGTGCTTATTTATACTTTTGAGTATCCCAAAAGAGATGGATTCTATGTTCTACTATCAGCTGCTTCAGGAAAGTCTCAAACATACATTTTCAGCAGTCCCTGGGACACAATTTAGCTTTCAGCAAGTGTTAGTTGTGGACTCATAGTTGATATATGTGCATGTATTAAAAGATTTTAAATAATCTAAAGAACTGTAGCAGGTTGCTGAATAACTTGGTCTCTTACAGTAGCTTCAATCACATTTGTTCATTGGAACAACAAAAAACCTTGAATTTGAGTATTGGAAAAATTTAGTAATAGTAACCCAACATTAATATTTTTGAGCTTTACTGATATTTCACAGACCATTTATGGTTGAGAGAAAGGTTTGCTGAAAACAAACCTAACTTAAATCTCAACCCCATTCAGCACCTGAGATATTGTAGACATATCTTCTATAAACCATCTAGAAAATAAGATTATCTCTATCCCAGACCAAAGCAGTACCGTGTGCTAAGATGGCTTCAGTAAAGGTGGTCTACTCAAATTCTGCAGAAGACATTTTTGGGCTGTTTTTTCCTTCAATGACTTTTCCTATACTTGTTACATTGATCTATTTAGTTCTGGGACTTTTATCTGGATCCCAAACTTGGGCACCATAGAGTAACACCAAAGTCTGAGAAGTCAGAAAGTGTTTATAGACTTAATCTGCCAACTTTCAATAAGTCTTAAAGAAACCAGCCAGGTTCATACAAACCCATGACAGAATGAACTAATGCAATGGGACAGTCATCATAACATACATTACCTTCACCCCGAAACCACTATTCTTTTGTCATCTATTAAAATGATCACCATGAATCTGTCAAAGTTCAGCTGAGAACCAGAACAGAGGCAGAATAATGAAAACTCATTGGTTCAAAAAGATCCATCTCCCTCTTTTGGGCACAGAAATAAACCTTTGAGAGTTCTATCATTAGAGTAAAACAAAACAAAAGATTTCTATCCTTCCAATTCCAATACTTCAGAATTACAGCAATGCAATAATTATTTTGCAGTGACCTGACTACTCCATTTAGATCATCAACATCAGAGTACGTGTGTTGAGTATAAAAAATCACTAGCTACCACTGATAAAAAGGGGCATATAGTAGGAAAGAAAGTTCTACACTGAGCTGATGACATTGTTGATTTCAACTCATTTTCATGCCAATACTATATGCTGAACTGTAAAGCTTTATTATATTTTAAATTGCAACCTATTTTATAAATCTGTCTCCCTTTATAGGAGCAAATAATTATATCTATTATCATTAGAAATGGGGAATGTCTTCTTGAAAGAAACACGTCTCTTGAAGGGCACATAGCTCTCAATACTAAATAAGAAATAACCTATCATGTGTGGGCAAAGTGTCTTAGACAATGATATTCCAGAGTTGCAAAAATATTTAGTGCAGTTCCATGACCCCTCACAACCAAGGTCTCACTCCAGCCATACCTTTTCCAACAGGTCAATTCTACACACTGCATACAAAGACCATAACGGTGTTCCAAATCCTGAACAAAATAGAACAGAGGCAGAGACTAACTGTTTTCTGCATCAAAACTCACTGTATTGCTAGGCAATTTCTCTTCTTTCAACACCTTCATCTTCCATATTAACCCTCTCTTCAGTACTTATAAGAGTATACCTGCAGAAACAGATTAGTTCAGTTGTCTACAATACACCAAAGTGCAGCCACCCACATAGCCTTAATCTAAAACATCTAATCATCTTAATTCAACATATGAAGCTATTCTAATTTTATTAACATATGAGACTCTGGAAAGAGTAAAAAAGGATGTGGTTCAAGAAAAAAACCAGGCACGGTCAGTCAACACAATACCAATCAAAGCAGACAGACTTTTAAACATTACCCAGTAATTTAGTTTTCATTGAAGTGATAATCTTCATCAATAGCTGTAAAAACATAGGCATTTCCACTATTCCTTATCAAACACAGATAAGTAAAACCTGTTATCAAGGTAAAAAAACCAAACGCACAAAAACCAACCCACATTAGAATCAAAAGGACAGCTTGTTTCGTTTGTAAGAACATCTCAGTTGTTCCTCCCCAGTAATGATCTGGTCACATCAATTCTTGATTTTTTACCCTAAGGCTGCATTATTGCAAGCTACTCTAATGTATGTTGAATATGAAGACAATGCTAATTTCAGCGGTTGCAATATAAACAGAGAGAAATTCCATTCAAGCAGCAAAGCAGAACTGGAAGTTTTCTGAAAGGAACTATCTTGCATTGTTGGGAAAAAGCAACATCATTAAATAGTTGTTCTTCAATTTACTGGACTTAGTAGATAGCTATAAGTGTAATTCTTGGATCAATATGCAGCAAGTCACTCTGTATTGATTTGGAACTCACCCACAATATCAACCACATCAGGACGGATGAGTGGCTCTCCACCTGTCAGGCGGATCTTCTCTACACCTTCTTTCACAAACAGTCTGGCTAGGGTGATTATCTCCTGAGCAGTTAGTAGCTCTGATTTAGGAGTCAGCTTAACACCTTCCTCGGGCATACAGTACTGACCTGAAACAAAGATTACAGAAATATATGAGGGAAAAAAATAACCAGCAACAACTAATCTAACATTGATGGGCAAAAAATGTACCAAGTGCAGCTGTCTTTAATGGATGTCAAATGACTCCAATTTTGCAAAACTTTAAAAGCAATCTTCTAACACTTTCCTGGTTTCCTTCAGAAGAAAACCCAAGACTCATTTGATGTGTCTCAAAACTACAGTGGATCCACTTTGAAGGAAAAGCTGATCTTATTTCTATCTAACCTGTATTCAAACACAGACACCTAATTCAACTGGCAAGCACTGGGACACTGCCACAAACTTTGCAGACACAATTGTAGGAATGCCCTAGGTATGAGCTCTCCCACTTACCACACACCTGAGGTATAGCAAACAAGCATCATTATCTCAGCCACACCAAGTCTGACAAAAGACCTATCACTTCCACTTGTCTTTGGAAGATCCTTAGGCTTGCTCCTGGCTCTTCATCCCACCAGCAGTTCAGGCCCAAATTACTCTATCTGTCCTTTACTATTACTTTGTGAAGACAAGAAACAGCACAAGGCCAACACAACAATAACCACACCCTAACTCAAGTCTTGGCCTTTGCACAATATGGGCATAAGAGCTTTGTTCATGGAACCCAGCAGACACTTACACCTGAGGTTGCATTTCTCGGTCAAAGAAATGCGCAAGTAATTGTGCTGACGCCCAAAGCTGTCTGTCAAAAAAGGAGATACGGGGGCAGCATGTTCCAGTAGAAAGCCTCCTCTTCCGGAGCTTTGCAACTCCTGTAATGAAAACAAGCAAGGGTTAAATATTTGAATAGTCACCCAGTCAACTTGCTGTATAAATATTAACTTTGAACTGAACTGATAATTATTATTTCATTTTTCCCCCACAGGGACAGCTGCACAAGAAAAACCCGTGACTTGTCTTTATGATCAAAACTGGGCATTTATTGATTAATTTTCACCCTACTTGATGCCATGGAAATGTTCTACAATCTTCCTTGCGCATTTTAAGGTACAGCCTCTTTGCTACAGGTGCTTCAGGCTTTTTGTGCATAATAGGAGGTTGTTCGGTTTTTCGGTTGCCTGTCTCTTTACTTTCCAGAATCAATGATCCAGGACCACCCTATCTCACTACAACCCCTGGGATAAATGAAATCACGTAAGAGGGGTCCTCCCTTGCACTTCAGCCCAACAGAACTAGAAGTCAATGAAACACTGCATTTCTTCTTGTGTTCCTACCAACTTTCATATGCAAGACATAACATCAGTTATAGCAAAACTGAATTATTGCTGTGAACAATTATGTTTCATGATGTCTTGTTTCCAACAAGGTCTTCCTGTCTAAACCCATATAAAAGAGTACTTCCAAAAAGCTTGTCTCTGTTAAAAGATGATAAATAATACAGGACATGGTGAAACTGGAAAAGAAACATACGATTCTGAACACCTATTCAACCTGCATAAAAGAATTCAGAATTTTAATAACGTCTTAATTGTCATGAAGTGAATAGTAAAAGTGATTTCTATTTACAATCTTGGGGTTTTTTTAAAGAGCAATGTAATATATTCTAGAGCAACACAATTTTTAGGAAGTATGAATATTTGCCTTCTAGAATGAGGGCACGGGAAGGATGTGGACCTGCTGGAGCGAGACCAGATGAAACCACAAAGGTGTTCACTGGGCTGAAGCACCTCTCCTACGAAAACAAGCTGAGAGAGATGGGTTTTTTCAGCCTGGGGAATAGAAGGCTCTGGGGAGACCTTATAACAACCTCCAGTATCTAAACAGGGCTACAAGAAAGCTGAGAGGGACTTTTTACAAGGGGGTGGAGTGATAGGACACAGGGGAATGGCTTTAAACTGAAAGAGAGTAGATAGAGACTCAGATATCAGGAAGAAATTCTTTACTGTGAGGATGGTGAGGCACTGGAACAGAGTTTCCCAGAGAAGCTGTGGATGCCTCATCCCTGGAAGTGCTGGATGGACTTTGAGAAAACTGTTGTGGTAGAAGGTGTCCCTGCCCGTGGCAAGGTGTTCCAACTGGATGATCTTTAATGTCCCTTCCAACCCAAACCATTCTGTGACTCTATGATCACGTTAGGTATCAAAATAAATATCCTAAATTAGTAGCTGCAAACAAATACAGTTTATACCACATAACTTAAAAACATCAGTACGTACCATCAATGACAGAAGACTGTTGGTTATAGCAAGGTCTAAACAGAGGGAGTCCCATTGCTTTCAGCCCATGAATTTCAAACTACCGTGTTATATCTATGTTTTCCTACAGCTGTAAAGCACAGCTAAAACCACTCTGCTACTTTTGGAAAACATTTTGATACCCTACGTAAAACACACTAACTGAACCAACTCTTATCACAATACTGCAGAAAAGCAAAAGTTTACCCTCCTACTTTTATCAGCTTGGTTCAGGCACTACATACAAACATCTACAAACAACATAATTCAATCCCTGCCAAGTCTTTTTATCTACTACATAACAGTTAAATTAACATTTTATAGGAGACAAATTTAATAACTCATGATAGAGGCCAGCTGCCTAACATCACAAAACAAAATGGAGAACACAAAGTAATTAATGGAACCACCTTCACTGGGTCCTTGTTAGTTAACCACACACAGACATCTAATAGTCAGCCAAGAAAACTACAAGAAAGCTGAACAACTCCTGAACATACAGTGAATTTTATCTCCAGTGAAAAAGCACATAAAACTCCATTTCTGTATACACGGTGTTCACAAAGCGTGTGTGTGTGGGAATCAGCTGCAGAATTGTGCCTCAAGACAAAATAATACTAACTTGTCTTGATAGGCTGCAGCAGGCAAAGGATTAAATAAAGTTTTGAGATAAACTTAAGATGTAGAATGAGGAAGCAGACAAATGGGCATTTAAACTGCTTAACTAAGCAAAAGTCATGACTTACATCTACTGAAAAACAGACCTGTGAAATCCCCAGACCTACTAAAATCAGCATGTATGGGACAATGCCAAGAGACTGGCAGAAACACACAGGGCTGGAGCATCAGCTCCCTGGCTCCAGTCATTACTAGTAACTATAGGAGTTAACCCTGCACAGTACTGCGACACAGCCTTTGGAAGAAGTCTAGAAAAGGTCAACTAAAATAAATCCAGGCATGCTTCCTCAAAACATTTTATTCTGAAAACATTTTTAAGAAAGATTTGTGGTGGGTGGAAGACAGAGAGACCCTCAGTGACCAAATCAGCCAGACAGCAAAGGTTGTCTGGGGAGAGACCCAACTTCAGCCATCAGCAGTTGCAGCAATTTTGTTTCCAGTTGTGCTAACACTACAGGAGCAGTCATTCTTGGCAGCACATTTTTTTCACTAACTTTTAAACAATCCACTACAATTCTTGATGCAAACAGCTTTGATGTAAAATAAGATTTCTAAAAACATCCATGGCAGTGGGGGCAGCTAGAGAAGATAAAGGAGATAAAAAGTGGCTATTTCAAACCCCAGAAAGCATCTGTTTACCCCTGCTAAAACTGCAGAAACAGTTTCCGTGCAATGGCTTTTCTGCCAGAAGAATGCAGTCCCTTTCAGTTTCAGTTTCAGAAGCAGTGGTCTCAGCAGCACAGCGGTATGGTGCACAAGGCCAGCACTCCCCAGACCTGGCTTTCCCTCCCAGCACCACCAAAGCTGTCAGTGGCAACACCTCTGCAGCCACATGCTGTTTGGCCTTCCCCTGTGTTCTTTCATCTCTTCCTTCTTCAGCAAGCCAAAAATTCCCAAGTTGAAAATCCCTTGCTTTGAGAGAAATGCTGGCTCTCTTGCACTAATTGTGAGGGTTTCTCAGAATACAAGCAGGGTTAATTCAAAGAAACCATGTAAATATCTAGACTTCATTTCTTCTTCTTCCCCAGTTTGAAAACTCACCCCTGAACAGATTAAATCTAAATATATTTTAAATCTGCCAAACTCAGAAAAACCTCAACACGAAAGTATTTTTTCTCTTGAAAACTGGGCTGTTTTCTAGCCTGGTTGGATTTCTGACATTCTCCTTCCTATTATTTTGGAAAGGTGTTCACATTTGAGAGGGAAAGCACTAGCATGCTTATTAAGATTATCTGAGTCCTTTTTGTGGGAGCTCTCCACTCCCGTTTCTTTCTCAATAACTCTTGTTTGCATCTTTTTCAGGATCAGGCTTCCTTACACACTTCACCTGAAGACAGATTAGTATGAACCTCCTGTCTCCTGGTTTCAGAGTGTGCATTACAGGTAGAGAAAGAAGTGAAAAGTTGTCCTTCCTGACAGAAAGGTGGCAAGAGAGGAAGATCTTAATGCTTGTATATAATGGAAGCCAAAACTGCATACTTGCAAGGACACTAAGACGCTTAAAACAATTTTCTGTTCTCAGAAGGAGCCACCACTGGAGTGGGACGCAGGAGACTGTTCTGTTCCTGGTCTGCCATCCACCTGCATGGCTGTTGCAGGCAAGGAAATAACAAGAATAACACTGCCCTTCAATAATTACTCCAAAGTGAATTGTTAAGAAGCAGCATTAGAAGAACAGGCAAGCAAGAGGCAGTTGGTGTCAATAAACTTTAAAGTTTCTATTGGAAGTAACTAGCTTTTGCTCTCTGCTGCAAAGTAGTGGGTTTTAGAATGGGGAAAAGAAAAATGTTTTCCAAAGCTACTAGAACTTCTTTCCATCAACTTCTTGTTGTGTACAGAGATGGGCTTGTCTGGGAGGAAAGAATGACTGGAGATGGAACTTTTAAGTTGTTATTTCAGTGTCTGTCCAGTTTGAAGTCAGCACAGAGGAATTAGGAGACACCCATTAGGAATTCAGTAGCACCAGCTTGAGCTCCAGCACAGGCAGATCCTGAATTACCAAAACTGCACCCAGCATTGACTCATATTTTTATCTATACCACAGGAAAGGCCAAATGTCATAGACCATAAACTCAGCTGCCTTCCTGTGAACTCAGGACAAGGACAAACATTCTCTCAGGTTGTTGTGTAAGTATGATTTTCTGAAGGGGAAGAACAGGTTGAGGTTGAACCTAATTGCTTGCAGCCTGTGTGAGAACTATTGGAGCAGGAAGAAAGCAAAAGCTTCCTGCTACAGTTCTCAGGCTACAGGGAAATGGTTATTCAGGTCCCTGAAATAGGAAAAGGTGGATAGGTATTGGTATTTTAACATATCAGTGCCCAACCACATAACTTTTTCACTCAAAAGGGATGCCTATAACCCACAGGTCTCTACTCCCCTCTCTCTATAGTCAACAGGAGAGACACTTCTGCACATGGAACAGTATGACCTGTCACACAGAGTGCTTTATCTGATCCGTGAAAAAACCAGGTTCTCTCTCTGGGCTGTCAATCACATATTCTATACTAGTACTGAAAGAATGAGAGCTTAGATGACTGCACCTAGCAGCTATATTTTGACAAGCTGTCAACCCTTCAGACCTGCCAATCCACCTGTGATTTCCAGAACTCTTCTAATAATGCAGCAAAATTGGAAGCTGTCACCAGAGGTATCAATAACCACCAGGAACTCCACAAACTGACAGATACTAGAAAGGTTCAGCTAAACACAAGGGGGCAGAGAACAGAACTCTTATCTATTAATCAAGCTGAAGTTCAAGTACCATCCGTGTTCTACTCTTCCACCTTCACCTCATCCCCAGTAATACTTGTGCACTACGAAACACTAATGCTTGCAAACACTTCTGCAGAGGCCTCAGGGGCTACCACAACCTTCATACTGATGCCACTGTCAGTGCTGCCCCAGGCACCTGCTGGCTCTTTCAGTTCCTGCAATCCTGCTGGGTCTGTGCACCAGTGCTGCTGCCTCAGTGTAGCACCTAAAGCTGCTGCAGCACCATCATGGACAGAACTCAGCTAAAGCTCCTCTATTTCATGCCTCACCTTTAGCATCTCAGTCTGCAGGGAAGCAGTGACATAATGTCCTTGGTTCAACACGAAAATAAGACAACCGCAGAAGCTGAAATGGGTCTAAGTAGGCCAAGTGCCAGAATGAGGTCTAAGCTGAGAATTCCAAGACAAATGTTTGTCTAAGGGCTCAGCAGCTGCTGCCCAACAGCTGACCCCAAACAGCATGCCACAGCTGTGGGTACTGGCACAGCGAGCACTGCCCAGGGACTGCGCAAAATGGAGCGTCAGCACACAGAGAGCTTCAGTCATGACTGGAAGACAATAAGGGCCACATGAGGACTTTCTGGGCAAGCTGGGCTTCCCATTCATCCTGGCGGTGAAGGTTTCATTGTGGCCACAAAAAAATTCAGGTAGTTGTGTTTGGATTACAGGAGGTACATGAGCAGATGGAGAAAACAGAAGTGAAACTTTGTATCAAGACCTTTACTGGACATGATACATCTGGAGCAGGAATTTTTAAATAATATGCTAATTTCCTTAGTGTCATTGCTCCCAAGCCTCACTATCTTAAGAGTCCTCTCATCTTCCTCCTTTGTTTCAAAAAGCTGGAATTTTTGCAAGTAAACTTCCAGCTTACAATAAAATAAAAAATAAGAAAATAAATACAAATTACTTTTTCTAGCATACTGGAAAATACAGTTTTGTAGTAGAAATAGGTCATCCTACATACTTATTTTAATTAAAAAATATAATTTGGACATATATCATCAGGCATACAAGATAACAGGGTGGCATCCAACTTTCTTTGTTAATTGCGAATTAGTAAAAACAAAAAAAAACCAACCAAACCACGCCTGCACACAACCAAACAACTGTGAAATTGCTGCTTTCAGAGCACCTGTTGCTACCTGCCCTTTTCTAGTCTTAGAAAATGGAACTCCACACTGTGCACACCTGAGACTGACAACTGTATCTTAAATACTAAGATACAAACAAATTGTTTACCACACAATACCAGTACAGCAACTGTACCGACCCCACTGTTTGGAACCTAAACTAAAGACTCGCAATGGATGGCCTTGGGCACAGCCTTTCAGCCATCTCCTGAAGCTCCTGAGTTACAGGGTTCTTCCTTCCACAGTTGGAATGACCATTTTAAAAGGGGCTCTTCTCCCCTTTGCACCCACCCCACCTCCGAAATCTCATGAAACTAAACAGAACCTAAGAATACTTTCAGCTCTAACACAGAAGACAGTCAAGCAGTATTCACATTTATTTTGAATGTTTGATCATCTTGTCATTTGAAAGCATGTTTCGCTGTACCCTATGGCTGTAATGCCAATTGCTCCTCTCTACAGATGAATTCCAGGAGAGACTGAGAACAGAAAGGAGCAATAAGTATATTATCACTGTACAGTTGCTAAGTTTTCAGTGCCTTTGTTTTTGCATTAGCTTGCTTCTCAGACCCTGCAGGGTATGAGCCACTAGTGCCCTGGCACACCTCTCACAGTCAAAACGCCACAAACACATATCACCCATCCTGTTCTTCCAGCCACTGTGGCTTTTGTCCCCTAAGGGAATAGGCCTTTCAGAGATGGATAGTGTAACCAAGCTCTCTCAAGAATATTCCTAAATGTTTGTAAGAGCTACCGGATCTATAGAAAGTAGTGAAAAGTATTTCTGATCAGAATTTATAAAAATGTTCATGGTTTAGGAAGAACAAAGCAAACAACCAAATTCAATAACCTTTCCAGATTTCTGACTCAAGTAAGCATTCAATACAGCAACGCATGAATACATTTGGCTTCCTGTAAATAAGTAAGTGGCAGTGAATGAATTCAATTCTGGTGACAGAGAGTCTGTCACTAGTAGCTTTAGCTTATTTTCTGCTTGTTAAAGCCATCCATGCAATCACAAGTAACTCAATAAATCATGTCCCAGCTGGGTTTTCGCTGCGCGCCATGCCCTATTTCTGCTCGACAGTCACAGAACCTTTGCCTTTGCGTGCAGCTTTTTCTCCTGCATTTGGACACCAAGAGACCGAATCCACCTGGGGAACCGAGAGTTAAACTGGCAGGAAGGAGCTGTATCTGGGCAACACCTGTGTTGATTTCGCGCCAGGAGCGGAACAAACAGGTCCAGTGCGAGCTCGTGTGACCGCGGGAGCACAACCACCGAAAGCTGCCAAACCACAGGGCTTTTGACCCGAGCTGATCAAACTCCGTTGTGTAATCTCTCCTTTGACTGGGCAGGAGCACAGAACCCGCTCGGTCCATGAGATTGGGTGTCCCCACGTACTTCCAAAGTGAGGGTGACATTTCAACAAAGGAAGGACGCAGAATTATGTATTACCACAGGTTTTGCTGACTCTTCCCTCCCCTCCTATACATAACCAGGTCATGTTCACCGCACAAGCCACCGGGCAGTCCGGGACACGTTGCAAAATTTTAGGGACAGGTTGCACTTCCATGGAAGGCGCGGGCACAGCTCGCCCGCGGCGCCCAAGACCCCCCGCTCACCCCGGCGGGCGCAGCCACGGTTACCACAAACTGCCCCACCATGAACTACGTCTTCTTAGGGACAAGGCACCGGCACGGGACGCCAAACTCCAAACGCGACCTGCGGCGGCACGGCATGGCACGGCTCGGCATGGCACGGCTCGGCTCCCACAAGCGCTCCCCGCCCGCCCGGCGGTATCCCGGCGGTATCCCGGCGGTATCCCGGCCCCAATCCCGCATTCCCGCCCCCCTCACCTGCGCGGCGGCCAAGGGAGCCCTGGCGCGCGCACCGGTGCTGCAGGCGCGGCGCGCGGCCGCCCCGCGCGCCCCCCGCGCGAGCCGCCCCCACGACACGGCGGCCGCCATGCGGCTCCTCGGCCCCGGCGCGCGGGGGTCCGCGGCGACAGCCCCGCGCCAGCCGTCACGCGGGGGAGGCGGGCACCGACAGCCCAATCAGAGCGGCGCCGGCGCCGCGCTGCACGCCGGGAGCTGTAGTCCCGGAGCTGTAGTCCCGGAGCTGTGGTCCGCCCTCGTCGCCCCCAGTCGCGCGCGGGGTCCTGCGGGTCCCGCGCCCACCGCCGTGTCCTCCCGGGGCGGCGGCCACGGGCAGGGCACGCAGTCACAGGGTGTGTTCTGCTGGAAGAGACCCGCAAGGACCACCGAGTCCAGCCCTTTAGCCCTTGCATAGGACCATCCCCAGGAGTCACACCATGCACCCGAGAGTGCCGTCCAAACGCTCCATGAGCTCTGACTGGCTTGGGGCTGTGACCACTTCCCTGGGGAGCCTGTTCCAGTGCCCAACCACCTCCCGGGTGAAGAACTGAAACTGTAAATCAGCAAATAAGTGACCCCTAAAACACAATTTGTGAGCATTAGCAGGCAGGCATTCCTCTGTTATCAGCATTGGGCACACGGGAGGACAACTCATCTAATCATGTGTGTGCCCTGTTCTCGGCTCAGCGTAGCTAATGTTTATTTGCAATTTTACATATTCAGTAAATGCCTAAAATATTCACTATTTCTCTTATAAACTTCATGCATATGTTAATTAGTTCTAAGGAGTTCTTCAGAAGTCCTTATTTGGTCAGTAGGGGGTCTTCTGGTGGTCTCTGGTGGTTATTTGGAGCTTGAACTTTACTTACACTTGTCCATTGAGTAGCTTATTTACAGTTGGTTATAAAGTGCCTTTGTTCAGCATCTCTTATCCAAAACCTGGATACTTATGTTATGACTACTTTAACTAAAGTATTCATAAACTTTCTTATTGCGCAACTACCTTAGCAGAAACTTACATTGTAAAGGCAGAAAGCAAATTGCTAAACTATAGAGAATTATTGGTCTTACTTTCACATTGTGAAGGCCAGTGCAAAATTACTAAACCATGGAGAATTATTGCTCTCGGAAAATTTTTCTAATATCCAACTTAAACCTCCCCTGCCACAACTTCAGACCATTCCCTCGAGCCCTATCGCTGGTCACCACAGAGAAGAGATCAGTGTCTGCCCCTCCTCTTCCCCTCATGAGGAAGTTGTAGACTGTGATGAGGTCTCCTCTCAGTCTCCTCTTCTCCAGGCTGAACAGAACAAGTGCCCTCAGCCGCTCCTCATACGGCTTTCCCTCAAGGCCCTTCACCATCTTCATGGCCCTCTTCTGGACACGAGCCCTGTGACCCTCAACAGCATGGGCAAAACCTGCACTGACAGCCTCTGCCATCTACCTTCTCCTGCCCCCATCTATGCTCTCCAAAAGCCAGGTGTAGAGCCAAAACCCTGACTACCAGTTGCCTTTGAGGGAAATGTGGACACTGAAGGACACACACATGGTGTACGTGTCCCGGCAAGGTCAGCCAGAGGATTGGGAAGGATGGATATCCTCAGCTGGGCAACACATCTGGTGGAAATGACAACTTCAATCCTGCCCCAGTCTCAAGTAAAATCTGTACAACCTTTATTGGAAGATAGGCACTGGAACTAAATAAGGCATATCTGATCCTGAGGGGCATAAGAAAGCAATATTTCAGTGTTTCAGCCTGATACACTTTCCCCTACACTAACAGTGTTTCAGACAAGGGACTCATGATGTAAAGTTTAGTATCTCACTGTCCACCTCCAGGTGAGGGTCTGCAGAGTGTGGTCACCTGTTGCCAAGATGGAGACACTTGTTCTGTACATGCTTTATATGTGAGAGGAAGGCTTGGATGGGATTGCAAAATTTTCCTGGGACTCCTTCCCTGAATCATGTCAGATATTCTTCCAAAAGTCAGGTGATTCCCTAAATGACTTTGTTTGCTCTTGGACTTGGAAATTTGCAGCTATTAAGAGTAAAATTCACAATTTTGTACACCATGCTGTTCTATGATCACTCATCCATTTTAAAAGAATTTTGTTTTCCATTACCGTATCACTGTGCCAGGGGTGTTTGCATTTGCAACTAGTGCTTGAAAACACATTAACAATTCTCTGCACAGTCTTAATCCTTTAGTGTTTGACCTGTGCATTACTTGTTGATGTTTGAGTAACTGGGTCTTACAATTGCTTGTGTCAGCTGTTATTTCCGGACATAGTTACATGTGCTGGTTCAGATTCAATTGTTTAGTCAGGTTATACTTTAATCTTTGCTCTTTTTGTAGCAAAACACTGCCTTCTGTCCAATTCAGTCTTAAGCATTTAGACATTAGACTTTATCCAGTCTTTACGCTGGATACAAACTAACAGGAAAACTTAAGGCAACATTGCTACTTCCTCCCTTCCTCCCCACCCCTCTCCTGCCAAAGCTGAAGCCATTTGAAAAGAAATAGACTCAGATTACTCATAATGTTGCCAAATCTCTATTCTGAAACCATGCCCACCAGTATGATGTCAAGGTAATATATACATAGACCAAAACAGCAGATAAAATACTGGTTTTAATTAAAATTTTTAAAAGATGCAGAAGCAAGCTTGTTGTTGACGTTTATAGCAGCTTTCTGAAGGCTCACTTCTCCCTGTAGAACTGGAATAACTGTAATTAAAGGATTTCCTGGATTTATTTGAAGAGCAAGTGGTAACGAGAGTTGAAATACCAAAAGCATTTTAGCTTCATATTAAATGTAGTAATTGTTCAATTCAGTGAGCTTTTCAGTTGCAGAAAAGGTTTAATTAGATGTGCAATGAATAAAGATGAAAATTTGTTACAAACTCAAAAAAAAAAAGAAAATTATTATTTGCTTCATCAGCATTAAAAAAAAATCTTCAGGATCAGTAACATTCTTCCACAGTAAATGTTCTTACCTACAGTGAAGAGTCTGGCTCTGCAGTTCTATTGTTATTTACTTTTCTTAAAGGCTATGTTAATCTTAACTTACATCTTTAGTCTAATTGAATATGGTGGGGCTAAGCATATCTGGAAATGTAAGAAATTAAATGTCTTTACATACCTGAAGCCTTTCTTCCAGTTTTATCAAATTGTACAAATATAGGCATGTTTCATTAAAACAGCATAACATCAGCTTTTACACCTCCAGAGGTACACCTCTTACTCTCAGAAGTACCTACTGCTGTTTTTCAGAAACGCTTGCCCAGCACTAAATGAAACTGTAAAAAAATTGCAATGAAATAAGAACATCTGCATAAGAGATGATTTCGTTTAACTTTACTGAGATACCGTGATATCATGTTGTGCCACATCATGTCATGTCATGTCATGACAGTCATGAAGAATATTTTTGCACATCTGAGACAGCAGCTGGAGGTTTGATTGCTTTGCTTTTCTGAACACATACCTGAAGAACTAGTACTTGGAAAATAATTAAGGCTTTGAGGTTTGCTTGTCTATGCCAAGATACTGTGCAGTGTCACACCCTTGAGTCGTAACTGAAATTACACATGACATTCTACCACATCAAAACAACACCTATCCGCTTCTAGCTGCAGAGACCACTATCACTTAGTGAGGCTTAAGACATTTAATCAAAGCAGTTTTAGGATCCACAGAAACTCCTGCCAGTGGTGTTTCTGTTGTCTTCTAGACATAATGGAGACATCCACTTGTGTTTGGCACAGGGTACTTCTTTAGCCCAAAGAAAGAAATTTCCTGCCCTTCCTGCTGCTGCCTTCCCTTCTGACTTACAGGGGTCTTAGATTAGCCTTGTCTCATTTACCTGCTTATTTGTTTCAAGATTTTGCTGAATTCACATTTAAAGCCTTAGGGGTGTCACTCAGCACCTGTGCACATCAGGGGATTAGACTCTGCCCTGTGCCATTTGTAAAGGTCTGTGTGCCTGCCAAGGGGTGTTACATCCACATGGGCAATTGAAGGGCAGAGTCCAGTCCATGTCCTCTGGGAGCCTACACCAAAACAATATAAAAATGCAGAGTACTGGACTAATTCCAGTGCTATTCATGCTTCACATCAGCACTGAATAAAACTTTAGAGATAGGTTAGTAATAAAATAATAATAACTTAAAAGTCTCAAGAGATCTCAGCATGTGAGCTGGATGCATCTGCCACAATGAATCAGATTGCCTCATTGTCTAAACTAGGCATCGATTAAAAGTTACTCAACACCTCTCTGAAACGTTGGGCTACTTGCCTGAACAAAAACCAGGGCAAAGTGGAGGACCTGATCCTGTCCTCACGTGGAGCTGGAACACAGTCAGGACTCGTGTTGGGACTACTGTTGGGAAAGACTGCAAGAGTGCAAGCCAAGGGAAAGCCTCCAAGTCCAGCTTCCTGCAAACTGAGCACGAAATAACAGAATTTACAAGACATGCTCACTGTTTTGTCTTTTTTCTGGCAAGAGCAGAACATCATCCCTCTTCACATTTGTTACTAGTGAACAACATAGGCGTTCCTTTAAAGAAGCCAGCATAAGGACAGAGGTTCACTATCGAACTTCAGGGCGCATATGGGGTACGAATGACTAGCTTAGGAAATCTCACAGTTGCTCGTGAGCATTATAGCATTTCTCAGTTCAAAGTACACCTTTGCACAGTTACAAGAAATCCTAGGGAGCTGATACAGCAGAGGCTTCTGTTATAGTTTACTTTCCTCATCACAAAGAGGCATCAGAGCCTTGCTGGTGTTTCTTCCCAGTAGCTGTCACAAAGTAACATCTGCAGTTCTCCAGTACATACTGCTTCCATGGAATTTAAAAGCACATGTCAAAAATCACACAGAGGTACAAATAGGGAATTTTATCAATACCCGTGCCAAGGCTGCCGCAAAAACAGATGCACTCTCACAGATGCAGAAGAAATCAGAACAAATCAGTCTGAAAATCACTGGTATGGAACCAGCCAGGCTGATTAGAAAATAAAAACTCTGTCACAGGAGAGTGGAAGGTTTACACAAAATTTATTAAGAAGCTTTGTGTTGAGTCACAAGGTGCAGAAAG